AGGAAAGGGCGCTGCAGGGGGCACTGTGGCCACCAGCTTTTTGTTGTGATTTTTCCTGTCCATGTTTCTGCCGGCTGTAGTTACGCTGTAACCACTCGTTTTCTTTCTTTACGTTAATATGTTGTTTCCAAATCACCAACTACTCCAAGCATTGGTCTTATCAAATTTTTAGAGATTCCCCAGTCTTTCTGTAGCTTTGTTTAAAGTGAGAACAACGTGAAAACTCGTTGAGGTGTTGTCCGCTTATGTTCCGGATGCCCCGCCAAGCCAGAAACCCAGTCCAATTTTCGAAGGCGTCAAGAACATCATCAGGGACATTCGAGCCAGCTGCAGTGTAAGACGACTGTACCCCTCTCCTCCTCGGACAAGTGAAAGGTCATGGCTACGAAGACAACAACCACAATAACGGCCACAGTGAATCCTGCAGCGATGTACCCACCCAGAAAGCCGTCGACCTTTTCCATATTTGTGAGTGCGAACTCGGAAACATTACCCGAAACCTTCAAAATAACCTCAACATTTCGCATCTAAACTCTCACGACAAACTATGCCACGTGTTTTTTTACCTGGAGGTTTATGAAATGGCCTGAATTTAACATCTGGATTCGCACCTACCAATCGAATAGAGATACGCACTCACAAACACCAACGTGCAGCGCACAACTGACCACATTCTAAAACATTTTGTGCAGGAACTGCATGGTTACCCCGAAAAAGGCTCTTTGTTCCTCCTGAAGACAGAATGCGCACAAAAGATTGCACATGGCATGGCCAGGAGGGGCCCTTTCCTCCTTGTGGAGTAAAGCACCCGTTTTTCAGAATAACCGCAGAAATGTTCGCGCCGTGTGAAACGACCCATCAGTGTCTACACTCACCTGTTTCCTTTCAGACGGTGCCGCAGCGTGGTGTGGTGTAGTCGTTAGTGTACGCGCATGCTGACAGAGTGGTCATGAGTTCGAATTCCGAGTATTTGCTACAAATTTTCTTACATGTATTTCTGAATGTGATGCTTACTAATCTATTGTACATCTAACCAAATATCAATACACACTCTGAAAGGCTGGTGAAGCCAACCAAAAAAATGATCTGTGTTTTGCTGAGGGTTACTCCTTTAAGGGGTGACCACGAGAGCGTGGTTACTCCTTTGCAGTTACTCCCAAAATGGTGCAATGAGTGTGGCAAGTTAGTTACTCCTCTAACGGAGCAACCTTGATACTCCTTTTCCTCTTTCACTCCTTAGAGTGCACCACCCATCATGCAACCACAGTGTAAAATCCGATCCCACGTACTACCGATCTCAGTACAATGAGATTAAACTGCGTGTCTTATCTGTGAACACTCCCCGCCCGCAGTCAGGTGAGTAACTACTTGGGATCTCAGAGTACGCTACAGAAGCTCAGTCGATGTGCAGAAGATGTTCCGCTTTTCTGTGGTCAGGCCACAACGCCTCACGGAAGCGCAAGCATTATATCAGTCCTGTTCGAGGCCGATGCGTGAGCTGTTAATACGAAAGCTTAGGAATGTGACCAATGCAACTGCGGTATAAAATTTTTAAAAAGTTTGTGATCGATGAAGACGCCTATTTGTAGACCATCAGGTAGCAGCTCGGCACCAACCAGAGAGTGCTTTCGCAAGAGCATTTTTCCACCTCCAAAAAACGTGACAAAACAACGTAGCAGCATCCGTGAAAGCGGTGCAGGTGCTGCAGCAACCAGACCTAACGGTAACGCAGGACGACGTAACACTTACCTTTACGTGGTTAGTGATCACCACAAAGTAACTGCTATAGTCGACATTGAAGCCAACGGCCGTGATTCTGTTCTTTGACATCTTTACCACTACATTTACACCTCAGTGCAAGCTGTACAAAGCTCCCAGGGCCGACGTATTTCACATATCTTGGGGCTCTCAAAGTTTACGTGCCTATCATAGTTCGAAGGGCATTCATCACCTTGACGAAGCAGTGCGAGACTATACTTCTCAGCTCCGATCCTAACAAGGAGGTCTGGACCACGGGGCGCGCATAGGCAGCCCGATAGAAGCAGGTGTCTTGGTCCCTAACCGTTGTCACCACGTGCAGTTGAGTAGAATAATTTTCTTGGTTTCTTAATCCAAGATTTCTCCTAATCTTTCTCCGTGTTAAACGACGTGTTTGCCACCGAGGTGAAAAACATTACGTGACTGATCCGTCTGTTTAGAAACTGCTATAACACGAAAGTGAAACGCGTCTTCACTGGGGTAATTGAGCGTTCATTGTGCGTTGTTTTGCAACAAGGGTGAAGGAAGGAATGCTACAGCAACAAACTGCAATGACATTTAAAGAACGCCAAGCAGCTCGAGCGCCAAGCAGCTCGGAACGCCAAGTGCGCATGAAATGAGCACACACATGACGATTGCGGACGAAAAACTGTCACAGATCTGCACTTAAATCCCGCTGATTAAACAGAAATAAAGACACAAGAAACCAACTCACAAGTATACACCTGTACAAGCGCGAACTATCACAATTCTTCTCTGTATGTTAGCAGCGCGTTGACTTCGCTAACGCAGCAACGGCAGCGAGTTAAGTGAACTTGTTGCTCTCTTTCCCCACTGTAACTTTAAAGCAAACTTTCGGTGGAAGCACAAGAGATAAGAAGCACCAGAATCGCAGGAATAACACGTGCACGCGAGTGAGCGACCACGTCTGAGACTATCTGTACGGACTGATGACGCTATATGGAGGCGCGCATCAATTGCCGAGGGTGGTGCGGGGCTTCGACCTTTATAGCGTGCGTGCCCAACGCGTCATACTCGCGCCATCTCGCAACTGAAGACAAGAACGAGCAGCAGTTGCAGACGTCTGACGACCACTAATGGTACATGGTGTATATAAGCAGTCTTTTTATTAACAAGCTAATGATTGATTGATTGATATGTGAGGTTTAACATCCCAAAACCACCATATGATTATGAGAGAAGCCATAGTGGAGGGATCCGGAAATTTCGACCACCTGGGGTTCTTTAACCTGCTCCCAAATCTGAGCACACAGGCCTACATTTCCGCGTCCATCGGAATTGCAGCCGCCACAGCTGGGATTCGAACCCGTGACCTGCGGGTCAGCAGCAGAGTACCTTAGTCACTAGACCACCGCGGCGGGGCTATGAACGAGCTGAGCAACGTGCGCGTTGCGTTCTAGTTGTTTGCGTGGCACGTTGATGAGTGAGTGGTCGCTGGTTGGATACCCAGCTAAAAAGTTCTTTTTCTCATTTCTTTAGGGGCGAAGCTCCTTATAGCGGCACCTGTTCGTCTCTCGTAGTCGTAGTCGTAGTATGTAACCAGTGTTACATTTTGACCTGCAAGGTGGTGCTGGTGGGAGATTTCTCCTGTGCTTTGTTGAACAATAAAAAGTTCCTGGCGTGCACGTTAACTAAAAGCCGAATGCTCCTGTCTCTCATTCCCCATTAGCAACCATTGGCATGTACATTGAGCACTATCTGACAAGAAAGGGTTGCTGCGTTATACTCGCTGGGTGTAACCTCCTTAGTTTTAAAAAGGTTTAGCGAGCGTTGAGCCGCAGCTCCATGAATACAGTGAACTAGTATATACCATGAACTCGAGGTGGTTGAAGGTGGGATGTAGATACGAATTGCAAGCCGTAAGAAAGTAAAAGCAGAATACTCCTTTCTCTCATTTCCCATTAGCTGCCATTGGCATGTACATCGAGCACTATCTGACAGGAAAAGGTTGCTATGTTATACTCGCTGGGTGTAGCCTCCTTGGTTTTAGAAAGGTTTAGTGAGCGTTGGGCCGCAGTGTCATGAATACAGTGAACTAGTATATACCATGAACTCGAGGTGGTTAAAGGTGGGAAGTAGACCCGACGCGCAAGCCATAAGAATGTGTGCGTGTGCCACCTTTCGTTTGGTCCTTAGAATATCCACTGGATGGCGGTGCTTCTGTATGGTAAATATATGATGAAAAGATGCAAGATGGTGGTACTTGGAGTGTTGAATAAGTGGACGAACGGACACACAGACAGATGCATGAATGGACGCGTGTACGGACGCAGGGGCGGATGCATGGACGAACGCAGGGACGGACGCATGAACAGACACACGCACGGACGGGCGGATCAACGCATGGACGGTCACACAGACGGACGCATGGACGGACGGAATCAAGAACGAATGAACGAACGAATACTTCGCCCCACTCTCCATCATTCACTCCGTAGATATGCTGCCATTTTTTTTCTTTTCAATTTCTTCCAATACGTTTTGATACGTCATATTCGTCGCGCCAGTCAGCCAGCGGAGCCATGATGAACCCTGTCAGAAAACGCTTTTGTGGTAAACAAGCCAATTTCCCCACTAGAACGAAGCAATGAAGGCGATAGCGAGCAACTGCCATGTCACGCGATGGACTTCCAGCAGCCCGAAGGTTGCAATGAGCCTCTGACACACAAAGAATAATGCCCCAAAAGAACGGGCAGATTTACACATGACAAGCAAAACCTAACAACTCCCACGGATGTTACGTCGTTTCTAATCAACTTTGCACTGCTTAGTTTCACTGTCTTGCATGAATGACTTGTGGAGCATACCAACATGCAGCGAACCATGACGTGAGTGTATGCACACAGGTTATTCACGGAGATAAGTGAACATGTGCTGACGATATACGGATGAAAAGGTACGCACCAGGTATATCACCTTATCCTTATTGTAACTTGTCACTCATATTCTTTATACACTCATACGTCCTTCGGCCAATCTGTCTTTAAATAAAGTGAACAAGGTCATAAGGAAGGTGCAGGGACGTAGGCTGCTAGACAAGTATGATCATCGATGTGCCTTAATATGTTCACAAACCAAATTTTCGTCTTTAAAAACCAATTGTGTTACTTCCGAAAGTCACTGTATGGTGCCAGAACGAAAAAAAGAAAGAACAAGGAAGTGTGCTTGGCTTTATTGTCTCTGCTTTCCGCCCTGAAATCGACATAAAAAGGTCCCTCCTTTCATGACTGAACATGAAACGCCCTGCGCGTCACTCTAAAGATGAGTATGGTTTTGAGCTCCAGCGTATTGGTCTTACTGACTGCATTTGTAATTCTGGTCATAATACAAGAGGATTGTAGCTCTTTTGTCCTTGCAGGTAAAGGTCATTACTGCTTCTGCTGCTTTCATACTTGTTTTACGTCACAGTGATTGTGAGAGAGGTCCATCACCACCAATTTGAGTCAATGAGACTAAATCTTATACATTTTTGTTTTTGAGGACGTAGTTCAAGTGGTCGACTACCTTTGGCGAGAACGACGGCCTTAATGTGCTCTCTCTCTCTCTCTCTCTCTCTCTCTCTCTCTCTCTCTTTATATAAATATATATATATATATATATATATATATATATATATATATATATATATATATATATATATATATATATATATCGCTATTATGTATTATGAATGGCAGACGGGGCCTCGCTCACACCTCATGTTTATTCCATTCTCACTTCTTCCTTCTCGGCTTCTACAACAAGTCACTGCCTTCCTACGTCACAGGATTTCCCCTCCCCCTGAAAGAATGCGCGCGTTACAATCAACAAAACAACAAAAAGTATCCAGTGAAGAATGCCAAAATGCGCAGTAGTTCGATTTCAAAAGTACGTTTCTTAACTCGCACGTAAGCTTCGCAGTAGAGGGCAGCAGTCCGGTCATATCTAGGATAGCTTTGGTGGACGAGGCTGACTGTTGCGCCCGGGATAGAATAACCCCACCCTGCACATCTGCACTGATGATGACATGACTTGAGCTCTTGTGGAGAACGAACAAGGCTTGAAAACTGTGTAGCATTGGATTTACTGATGTCTTTGGCATCGGATCCAGCGCCGTCGTGGCAACAGACGCTTTGCTTCTAGTCGGCGTGCGTGAGAACCAAGGATGATGGGGCGATGTCTTTTTTTTCCGTTGTATACGTGGTAGCTTCATGTCCTTTTCGTAACTTTCTGTGGCGTTTTTTCAGTTTTGTGGATCGCAGACATGGCCTAGAGAACTGGTGCAGAAAATTTTTTCGACATTGCTTTTTTGCGAAGATGGCTTATGCATTGACTTTGTGTTTGCTTCTTTAATTGATGTTGTCTTTGATGACCTTTAAGCCACAAGTGTACTCGTGAGGAGGTTTCACTTGATCGTTGTTCTTGTTCGAGTAGCCGTTGTAGTTCCTGGAGTTCGTGGAGTTGCATTTGTTGAAATTGCTCGTTTTGTTGTGAAAGTTGGTTAGATGGCACCTTTCAGGAACATGAGTCTGCTTTTCTTTACATGGTGATGTGATCAGTAGATTGTCGGTAGTCGATACTGTACTGCTGGGCTTGTCTTGCGATGAAAGCAGCGTGACAGGCTGATGAAAAAGCTTCCAAGATGGTTGTGAGTCATCATTTATTGTAAATGCTTCTGTCAGTTGACAATGCGCTGGTGTTGGTGGATTCGAAATTCCTGCAGTGCTTTGACTCACATGTGTGTTATCACTTGACGATGAGAGCACAACAGACATGGCTTGAGGTGGTTCTGATGGCGTATGTTTTTCTTTTTGCAAAGTGATTAGGCTAAGAATGTCTGTCGAATGACCCTGCTTGGGAACGTCCAGGTGTAGGCTGGTATTGTGAAGATTCACCAGCTCGTCACGCGTAAATTTCGTCACATGTTCGAAACCGTTTGGGTCTTGTGTGTGACGCGAAGCATCAAGGGATTCGGGTGGTTCAGTAAAATCTGGTTCAGTGAACCTGGACCTCTCTTGTTGTGCTGTTGAAGAAAAAGGACGAATCTATAAGGTTCTCCGTAGAATACAGTCGTGCCAACCGTATCACTCGCAGGAATGTCGATTCACTGCCGCGCATCGACGATGCCTCAGACTGCTTGAAGGAAGCGGAATTCTTCTCTTTCTTAAACGAGTGCTCTTGATACTGGCAAATACCTATGGTGGATGCCGATCACAAGAAAAACAGCTTTCTTCATGTCCGATGTGCTGTACGAGTTAACAGTCAAGCCCTTAGGCCTCAGGCGCCCGCCAGCGACGTTCGACCGAACGAATGACACGGTCTTTCGAGGCCTTGATGAGAATATTTGTTTTTGGTATTTCAATGTCAGAGTCATCCTTTCAACAGATTTTCAACACATTTAACCCACCTCGAGCATATCCTCACATTTCTCTGCGTAGCGGGGCTGCAACGAAATCTGAAGAAGTGCCACTTCGCCGCTCGTGCGGTCACCATTCTTGGCCACGGAATTTGGAAGCACAGCAATCTATCTAATCCTGCCAGACATATAGCCATTGCAGTTTTTCAAACAGACTACCTTGAACTAGCTCTAAAGCTGCATTGGCCTCTGTTCTTATTTCCAGCGCTTCGCCCACCATTTTGCGATGATCATCACCCCTTTAATGAAGCTCCTCCCCTTCTTTAGTGATCTTTCGACATGGTCTTTCACTTGTGACGATGCTTTCAACAAACTGCACCCCCTCATCAAACTGCCGCCTAATATGTGGCTCTATGACCCATCTGCACCCACATAGATCCACAAAGACACTAGCGATGTCAAGATCAGCGCATTTTTTTAGCAGCGGAAAGACCGCTTCCAAGAGTACGCCATTGTCTTTGCAAGCCGAACGCTTAGCAAAGCCGAAAGCAGCTATTCCAACACTCAGAAGGAACGCTTGACTATTATTTGGGCGACAAATATTAGCCTAACGTGTACGGGTGCCCTTTTGACGTCGTGACTGACTACTAAGCCGTTTGCTGGTTGTCGTCACTAAAGGATCTAAGTCGTAGCCTCGCCCAGTGAACGTTACGCCTACAAGAGAACGATATACACGTGGTGCATCGCTTCGGACAAAAACATGCGGATTATAGGCCATATCCCATTCACCCCTGTCTTCTGACCCTGACTACTGCGCAATTCTAATTTATGACACCACTGTCATCACCATCGCCGACATGGCCATCCAAGCAGTGCAAGAACCCTTGGTTTGTTTTTATACTGGAGTTCCAGGCTGGTCACACCCTTTCTCCCTCTGCTCGCACATTACGTCCGCAAGTCGAGAACTCCCCCACTCACGACGACGTGTTGTACCTGTGCAACTGCACAACTGCTGGACGTCAGTGGCTACTCGTCATTCCACGTCACCTGCGATCCAAAATTTTTCAACGTTTCATGATGACCCGCATTGTGTTCACGCATGTTTCTCTAAAGACTCTCACACATACGTCCGATGCTACTGGCGTGGTATTTACCGTTTTGTTCGACACTGTTATCGGGCTTGATCTACATGCGAGAGACGAAAGACTCCCCCTCATGGCGCGAACGGCCGCTTATTACTTTTGCCGTGCCCCTCCCGACTGTTCGACTGCGTCATCATTGACATCTACGGTTCCCTTCCAAGCCCTGTAGACGGTAATCATTGAATCGTAGTTGACATCGACCAGCTCACGCGGTACACCGAAGTTTTATGCTTCCCTTCATCTACAGCCAAAGACAAAGCCACTTTCATTTTGCACAATCTCCTCCTACGTCAAGAAGGACATCAATATTCGCGGGCGGTGGAGGTGAAGCGACAGTGAAGTGTGTTACTAGAGGGCGGAGGAGCAGGCAGGTGTGGTCGCTGCAGTGAGCGTGCTATGGTAGAGGAAGAGAGTAACGTCAGCGCGCACCTGCGAGGAAAACGCGCGAGGGGAGCGTGATGTCAACGCGCAGCTGCGGCAAGACCTATTTGGCAGCGCTCTTACACCCGCGACGAGCAAAACGCGTTGCGGCTCGTTCGTATGGAGGCACGTACGTATGGCGTTACACACATCAGTGAAAGATGTGTTTCTCACCAAATAAGTGCGTCGTGTCCCCTGTAGGCCAACAGCGAGTTTTTTTGGAGGCAAGCTTAAGTGATGAACATGGAATTACAGGCACTTAAGGGAGGCCAGTCTCGCAGTTACATTTTTGGATTGGATGTACGCTATGAGCAAGGCCGACACTTGAACTCAGGTCGTCACCTCGCGGTGCGTTAAAGCGTTGACGAAATCACACTTCTGCTCAAAACGCGTGGGCTGCGACGAACGTGTCGCGACACGCGTTGCACTTGCTAATCACGGAAGGCACAGTAATAATTAACTACTTCACTGCTCCAAGAGGGCGACACCACCCACTGGATAAGAGCGCTGTGATTAAAGAGGCAGATATAAAACTCGCGTTTTTAAAGAAGTTATTCACTACTGTTTCGGTGCAGTTACGTGAATAGCGTGCTCGGCATGGGTTGTTGAGGACCGAGAGTTTATAGGTTCGATAGCCTTTGCCGGAACTTTCACTGGTCTGACATCTGACAAAATTTTTTACGCAGTTTCCGTGACGAAGATACGTCACTGAAGTCTTCATGGGCCCTAGCATAGAAGTCTTTCGTGGTTAATCATGCTTCCAAGCAGAAAGAACGCCATTTTAAATGTAGTTATTATTTCCACTAATTGTCTGTATAGTACTCAATTATCATAATGATTTCAACTATTTGGATTACAGGATGCGCTCCATATAGCGGAAGAGGACGCGGAAGACTCGGAGGCACTCCTGGATATAATCGTAGTTGTGACTACGCTAAAGTAAGCTAACATAAGTGGATCGTCAGTCCCTTCAGTTGCCTTTGAGCTCGTACATTCTTGTTCATCAAGAACATAATGCATTCAAAATGGTTCTCCAAAGATATTTCCTTGAATAGCGACAACTGCACGAACAGAAAGCACTTGTCTCATTGAGGAGAAAATTATTTCCTTCTTTGTTAAATAAAGTGGATAAATCTGCCCTAATACACCATCGTTCTGTATATTTGTTTGAAAATCTACATATATAAGTGTGGCTTTGCAGTCGAGCTGAAGAGTCGAGGCAGCAGCCTCGACGAAACGTGCATACATTGTGTAAGAAGCAGGACGCTTGATTTGATCTGTGCGAAATAACGTACAAAAACCACCATGTGACAATGAGTGACGCCGCAAGACGCTTGCATTTAATACAGTTTAATAAAAAATTACTCTATGTCCCACTGAAGGGAACTATGTGTAGATGCGAACAAGTGGGCTCCAATGCTTACAAAGGCGGCACAGTTGCCGCTGGCGCACATCGCGGCGTTGCGCATTAGAGAAACCTGGGGAGGCGCAAAGCACGCAGTGATGGACCGGTGTTTTCTCTACTGGAACATGCTAATTACTGCTAATTGCCAATGAGGGACTTCTATGTGACAAATAGACCTGCAGCCCACTTTTGTTAAATGCGTACGCAGCCATTTTTGTTGTTCACCAACGCACACGAAAAATGTCCTACCAGCATTACCTTGGAGGTCAAGATCTACCTATATGTGCGGAATGGCAAGTTGGCGGTTGTGCAGTGTGAGCAGTCTGTTTTCTTTCAATCAAGAAACTCGTTAGCAGACGCTGCCTGTGTAGGTGTTGCAAGGCGTGAGAGGGGGAGCAATGAAGAGGAGAGAAGAGAGAGGGGAGAGGACGGACATACGCATGGCAGTGTGAATGCCGCCTGAAGGCACCCCTGGAGGCAAAGAGTTTGATAAAATTATTTAGAAGCTACTCAAGTGCTGCGGTCGTTAAGCGACCATGGAAATGACGGGTAGTATAGAGATTTGCCAAGTTTTCGAACTTGCAGGGGGGGAATGGCACTCATTGCTTTGTTTGTCGCTGTGTTTCGGCTTTGATTTGAAGGAAAGAATGAATCCTTTCGAACTCCGTGACCTGATTCAAAATGGTAAGTCCAAAAATATTAAGGTGCTGAAGCTCAGCTGCTGAACATTTGCCGATTGTTGTTTTGTGACAAAACAGCTTCAAGCCATGCGATGCCAAAAGGAAGGTAAAGTACGAAGACTAGGCAAATTCGTGAACTACTCATATTTTTCATGCTGGCTGAAGCATCATGAGTTGTATTTCCCGCAGACAGTGCCAGATTCCCCACTAGTGTATATGTAGGAAACTCTATGCCTATAGAGGAGATAGAGGAGGGAGAAGGAGATTCGCGCACGATTTCACCGAAGTAGGGCGCGTCTTACTGCGCTCTTGATTTTACCCCGTTCCTCGCTCCGAGATTTTCGCGTGCAGACCTGTAAGGGCTACAAATGGCACCTTTTAGAGGCAACTAAGGAGGCCGTGAGGATGCTCTCACGGCCTCCTCGGCATCAACAACCATGCGAACTCAGCAGCAAGAGGCACAATCCAAGCCTGCACGCTCTGAAAAGAAAACACAGCCCAAGAGGACAGCAGCCATCACACTGTCATCTTCTCCGCGGTTTCGAGCGAAGCGAAAGTGAAACCTGGTGCTTCCTCTTCTGCACGGGCATGGCTACCTGCACGGGATATTCTCTCAGCAGCAACCTCTCCTCTCGCCTCTGCAACACCGCGGTTGCCGAGCAATCGCCACTAGCCCCCAGTACGTAGTCTGTGCCATCAAGCACGTCACTGCGTTCCGAATGTCCCCACTTCACTGGCGACCTTTCTCTTTCCGACTGTACGGCCACCATCATTTTTTTTGGCTGATCGGGAAGAAGGCAAACTTCCTGGCTGCGTCAAGGGATGTAACTGCCGCCTTTTTTTCGGGGTTCCCGGCCACCTACCGAGTCCGGGTGAGTTTCCGGCGCAACCTTGTTGCGGTCGACACTCACCCTATACTGCCAATCCGACCGCCCTACTTCAGGTCGGGACGACTTGCGACACCAAAGTGCGGGCCAAAGAACTCAACCTGAACACCTGCATTGGCGTTGTTTTCGGAGTGAACCCAACGATCCCCTTTGAGGACCTTGCAGACAACATTGCGCTGCCTGTGCCAATAGTGTCTGGTGTCCGCAGGGGCAACTACCTCACTCTCACCTTTGCGGGGAACACCGTCCCCCCGAATATATTGCTCTACAAGCAAAGGCGCCCTGTTCGACCCCACCAGCCCCAGCACCAGCAGTGCTCCCATTCCAGCCGCTTCGGGCAGCGCCTCTACGGTCCCCTTCCTTTGACACCAGATGGTAATCGGTGGATTATAGTGGCGGTCGACCACCTGACACGCTACGCCGAAACAGCCACTTTGCCGAGCGCTACAGCTCAGGATGTCGCCTCTTTCATTTTGCAACGCTTTATCCTTCGACATGGTGCACCTCGAGAGCTCCTTAGTGACAGAGGCCGCGCTTTTCTTTCCGAGGTCGTGAAAACTCTGCTTTCGGAATGCCACGTCACTCATCGGAAAACGACAGCATACCACCCGCAGACTAACGGACTAACGGAACGGTTCAACCGCACGCTAGGTGATATGCTCTCAATGTACGTGGCATCTGATCACAGCAACTGGGACCGTGTTCTCCCATACGTCACGTTCGCATATAACACCGCAATACAATCCACCACGGGATTCTCACCTTTCTTTCTTCTTTACGGACGTGAGCCTTCCCATACAATTGATACCCTACTTCCTTACCGTCTTGATGCTTCCGAGTGTCCACCTATCTCCGATGCTGCTAGACAAGCCGAAGAGTGCCGCCAGCTCGCCCGTGCGTTCACCTCGGAAGAACAACAACGCCAGAAAGAAACTTGTAGCACCTCTCTTCCGGATCCCAACTATGCCCCAGGGTCTCTTGTGTGGCTTGCCATCCCATACCAAACACCGGGACTCTAGTCGAAACTTGTCCCGCGGTACGAGGGGCCTTACACCGTTTTGGAGAAAACCTCTCCGGTTAATTTCCTAATTGAACCAGTTTCCCGATCGGACGACATGCGCCGGCGTGCACGTGACATCGTCCATGTTTCCCGACTGAAACCATACCATGAGCCTTTGCCTGAAACTTCTTAAGTCGCCAGGATGGCTCCTTTTTCAGCGGGGGCGATTGTGAAGAAGAAGATGTGCCTGCAGCGAGCAGCATCGCCAACGCCTGGCTCTCTCGGCTCGTGCTTCGGTTGGTTGCTGGGCCGATCGCTGGACGGTTCTTGACGCTGTCTCGTCGCTGTCTTTAACGGCTAATAAACCTCCTCACACCTTGGAGGTCAAGATCTACCTATATGTGCGGAATGGCAAGTTGGCGGTTGTGCAGTGTGAGCAGTCTGTTTTCTTTCAATCAAGAAACTCGTTAGCAGACGCTGCCTGTGTAGGCGTTGCAAGGCGTGAGAGGGGGAGCAATGAAGAGGAGAGAAGAGAGAGGGGAGAGGACGGACATGCGCATGGCAGTGTGAATGCCGCCTGAAGGCACACCTGGAGGCAAAGAGTTTGATAAAATTATTTAGAAGCTACTCAAGTGCTGCGGTCGTTAAGCGACCATGGAAATGACGGGTAGTATAGAGATTTGCCAAGTTTTCGAACTTGCAGGGGGGGAATGGCACTCATGGCTTTGTTTCTTGCTGTGTTTCGGCTTTGATTTGAAGGAAAGAATGAATCTTTTCGAACTCCGTGACCTGATTCAAAATGGTAAGTCCAAAATATTAAGGTGCTGAAGCTCAGCTGCTGAACATTTGCCGATTGTTGTTTTGTGACAAAACAGCTTCAAGCCATGCGATGCCAAAAGGAACGTAAAGTACGAAGACTAGGCAAATTCGTGTACTACTCATATTTTTCATGCTCGCTGAAGCATCATGAGTTGTATTTCCCGCAGACAGTGCCAGGAAACTCTGTGCCTATAGAGGAGACAGAGGGGGAAGAAGGAGATTCGCGCGAGATTTCGCCGAAGTAGGACGCGTCTTTCTGTGCTCTCAATTTTACCCTGTTCATCGCTCCGCGCTTTTCGTGTGCAGCCCTGTAAGGTCTACAAATGGCGCCTTTTGAAGGCAACTAAGGGGGCCGTGAGGATGCTTTCACGACCTTTTCGGCATCAACAACGATGCCAACTCAGCAGCAAGAGGCACAATGCAAGCCTGCACGTTCCAAAAAAAAACGCAGCTCAAGAGGACAGCAGCCATTACACTGTCATCCTCTCGCTGGTTTCGAGTGAAGCGAAAGTGAAAACTGGTGCTTCCTCTTTTCCACGGGCATGGCTTCCTGCACGGGATATTGTCCCAGCAACAACCCCTCCTCTCGCCTCTCCAACACCGTGGTTGCAGAGCAATCGTCACCCGCCCCCAGTGCGCAGTCTGTGCCATCAAGCACGTCACCGCGTTCCGATGGTCCCCACTTCACTGGCGACCCTCCTCTTTCGGACTGTGGGGCCACCATCATTTTTTCGGCCGATCGGGAAGAAGGCAAACTTCCTGGCTGCGTCGAGGGATGCAATTGCCGCCTTTTTCTCGGGGTTCCCAGCCACCTCGCGAGTCCGAGTGAATTTCCGGCAAAACCTTGTTGCGGTTGGTACTCACCCTACTGCCAATCTGACCGCCCTACTTCAGGTCGGGACGACTTGCGACACCAAAGTGCGGGCCAAAGAACTCAACCTGAACTTTTGCGTCGGCGTGGTTTTCGGAGTGAACCCAACGATTCCCTTTGAGGACCTTGCAGACAACATTGCGTTGCCTGTGCCACTAGTGTCTGGTGTCCATAGAGGCAACTACCTCACCCTCACCCTTGCGGGGAACACCGTCCCCCCGAATATATTGCTGTACAAGCAAAGGCACCCTGTTCGACCCCACCAGCCCCAGCCCCAGCAGTGCTCCCATTCCGGCCGCTTCGGGCAGCGCCTTTACATTCCCGCACCGTTCAATGGATGGATGGTTGGATGGGCTGATATGGCTGTACCCTTTAGATCGGGTGGTGGCTAACGCCACCAAGCCGCAATACTTAGTGAACCAAAAACTAGATTTTCTTTTTTTGCTTGTAAATAGTGAGGTTGATGACTCGTACTTTACAGCTAAGGGTTTAATTTTCCC